TCATTCAAGAACAACAGTGCTGTATCAGTGAGACCCCGACACACGGACACTGCATTACAACCTCTTAGCAGGAGGGCACCTAAGAGGCGACTGTGAGAGGCAGTGTTGTCCTGAGCATAGAGCATGGCACTGGGACTTGGGTGACCTGAGTTCTATTTGTAGCTCTGCTCCATGACATGCTGTATGACCTTGGGGAAGGCATCTCTCTGTGCTTCTATTTCCCTTCCCATCCTTTGTGTTGATTATTTAGATTGTAAACTCTTTGGGCAGGGATTTCTCTTGTATGTGCACAACACCTATTACAGTGGGCGCCTAGTCTCAGTTGAAGCCCAACCCTAGGTACTACTTTAATACAAATAAATAATAATGTACCTGAGCTCCTAATTGGAACAAAAGAAGCTGTAGCTTAAACCCATGTTTCCTAAGACATATCGATTTGCCACCCATACATTGCACACTTGTGAGCAAAGAAGTCAGCATGCCTTGTGATTAATTTCACTCATTCCTGTGCACACTCCAGCCTCATACACGTGCTGCAGTACAACAACTTGCTGCACCCTGCACAAATACTTGTGGGATCATAGCATCAATGTACAATTTTTCTTCTTTTTAAGTGACAGAGCCTGCCTTATGCAATTTCAGAAGCACCATTTCAAAGTGATCCTATGTCAAAAGCCAAACAAGTCAAAACTGCTGTGGTGACTTGCAGGGAAAAAATAAACACGTTAATAGAAGTTGCATTATATGTTTAGCTTGATACGATGGCAAAGAGGGAAGTAAATAAAATAGCCATGATTAGTATTCAATTAAACCTTTCCATTGAGTTATAACCACAACAGAATCATATATTTTGCTTTGACAGCACAGTTGCAGAAACTGCTATCATTGCAACACAAGCAGCTTTCCTTACCAACAATGTACAGGCAATTATGAGGGAAAAAAGAGAATTATTCAGAAGAATCAGTAAGACAGAGATAACAAAAAAAGTGCTGATCACTGTACATGCATGATTGCAAGGTAGATATCAGATATTGGTAGGGGAAGAAACTTTCAACTGGCACTATATGCAAATCGAATAATAACACAGTCTAATCTCAAAATCAATACTGGTGATTGCAAAGGCTGATACTGTGCACTGCCACAACAGAAAATCCAAGCTACCAAGACAGCTCAAAACTAACTTCCCAGGACTTTGGCACAGCAAGGGGGATAGTCTTCCAGTTAGTAGACATCATTGTAGAGCTAGCCACAATAAAAAAAAATTAATAGGACTTCTCTATCAGGACAAGTCAAAATTTTTCAAAATTTAGATGAAAGTTTTTTGCAAACATTTCTCAAAAATTTTTGCTTTTTTTTTTGCTGTTTTTTTAACCAACTCATGGTCAAAAATTTTTGAGATTTTGATAAATTGTAAAAAGGTTCATTTTTTTTTAATAGCTCTGTTCTCTAGGTCTCCTATTACTGTAGCATCCGAGCAGTACACGGACATGAATGAATTTATCTTCACAACACTCTACATGCAGTAGGGAAGTATTACTCTCCACATTTTACAGACAGAGAACTAAGCCACAGAGCAACTAAGTGACTCTCCCAAGGTCACACAGGAAAGTCTGTGACAGTTCCAAGAATGTACCCTAGACCGCTGGAATTCTGGTGCACTGTCTGCTGCAGAGCTGGGAATAGAGCCCAGGCCTTCTGTATCTAAAACCTGTGATTTAACTGCATACCATCCTTCCTTAAAGTGACCTGGGTATATTTCCCTGCTCTGAAATTAATATAGAGGTACTTCCTATATATTAATTTCTCAAGCTATTAAAATCAGTTTGTTTATTTTTAATACTATGTCTCTGTGTTTGAAACAATACTACAAAACTATACATTAAAACAAAACATTCCATGGACACACAGACACTTTGCAAAAGCAATGTACGGCATAAACACAACATCCCAGCCACACACAGCATCTCCTTAGCCATCTAATACACCTTTCACTTAAACAGCTGGGTTTTCCCAGGCCTCTCTTATCACAGGAAAGTCTACTGTTTCATCATACGTCTTATAACATTAAACCACTGCTACCATGTCAACATATCAATGTGTTGAAGATGGAAACAACAGTTTCACCGCCTTAAAAAAAACAAAACAAAAAAAACCTCACTTTCTAATCTAAAATATTGGTAAACAATTAATCACATTACTACCCAGATTTCTATACTGTCAGCACACACCAGAGTCAAACAGACCTATCTGAACATGGACACAGGAATCCAATTTTCCCATGATTTTCTCTTGTTGCAATTCTATTTTAGACTTATTAGCAGATCTTAGTTAACCAACTAGTGTCTCTCATCACAGCTCACAGTAATCACATATACCTGAGAGACTGAAATGCAAAAGAAACTTCTGCTGTTACCAAGAACTAAGGATCACATTTTCAAAGAAGCTCAGAGCCAGAATTTCAAAGGCTGAGCATCCATAAGGGAGGCCAGATTTTCAGAAGAACTCAGTAACCATTCTAACAACTATATAAGAGCCAGATTTTCAAAACTGCATAGCACCCAACATGCTGTGCTGAGCTGAGCTGCTGTGAAAATCTGGGCACTTATTTTGGTATCTAAATAGAATCTGAGCTCTTTTGAAAATCCTTTTATAGTTTAAACTCAGACTTAGCAAAGAAAAATTGAGGTGGAGTTTTAAAAAAACAACCTCAAAACTCCAGATTTATGGATGTTTTATAAATAAATATCACAAATTATTTTGCTTCTCTGCTACTAAAAAAAGGGGGATTAAAATAATTTAAAAGAATAAGTCAAACCCTGCTTACCTTGATCATGAGAATTCAGTTCTTACTTGCGTGAGAGAAGCCAGTGGGCCTACTCAGGTGAATAAAATGAGTGTGATTTGACTTTTAGGAAGGGGAAAAACAAAACAAAAAACACGTTCCCTCCCAAACTGATGACTTCTATAAATTTCAACTTCAAGTGCAGTAGAGTGTTTAGCTTGGAAACTCTCTGACAGCCTATATATTCATAGCAATGCAACAGCAGCACTACAACCACCACCACTCAGGGTTTACTCAGAACATTTTGTATAACCAGCTTTGCAGTGAATGACTAGATCTGACCTTGGCACCTCTTGCGTTATACCCACTGATAGATGCGCTTAGACTTGCCTCCTACCCAATCTCCAGAACTACAGTAGCTCCCAGCTACCCGCTGATTTATAGCTTGATTGCGGTAACTGGCTTCCCCCACTGCAGAACTCAAAAAACAAGCTCTTCAAGGCTTCAGCCGGTTTTCCTGCTATACAGCCAACAAGCATGTTTTCTTAAAAATTCAGGTTTTGCATGGTAATTTTTTTCAGTCTGAAGTCAAATTTCAGGTGCACAGAGGACAAAATTTACAGTACTATTATTATAAAGTTACCTTCGTAAAACATTTATACAGCACTGTAAATTTATAGCTAGAGCGACAAATTCTGGTCAAAGTTACACTAGTTAAAATCAGGAGTAACTCCACTGAAGTCAATGGAATTAGCATAGATTTTCATGTGTACACAGCAGAAACTGACACACCAGTAAAGAGCTGGGACCAAGTTCCATTGACACAATCTATAGATTTCAAAGTAGCAGCCGTGTGTTAGTCTGTATCTGCAAAAAGAACAGGAGTACTTGTGGCACCTTAGAGACTAACAAGTTTATTTCAGCATAAGCTTTCGTGGGCTACAGCTCACTTCTTCAGATGCATCTGAAAATAAATTTGTTAGTCTCTAAGGTGCCACAAGTACTCCTGTTCTTTTTACAATCTATAGAGTTGCTCTGGATTTACATTGGTGTAACACAGCAGAATTTGGCCCACATTCCCTGTCCTCAGGTTTACAAAAGGCATTTATAGCAAACATTTAAATTAAAAAAAAATCAGCCCAGAATTAATCATACATACGCAGTGTTATAATCAGTGCACGATAATTAGTTTCAACTTTAAAATAAAAAAAAAAATCAAAATCACTTGCCAGTATTTGCAGCATAAAAATGGAGAGATGCGCAGTCGTGAATATATACCATGCAGATTTTTATAGATATGCTTATACAACTGGAATATTATCTGACTGCTCCACTAGATCCACTGTCAATATGGTTCTAGGAAGAATACAGTGTGAGAAGCAGATTCCCCCCAAGGCACCACCCCCAAAAAGCATCACAGGAGTTAGAGATGGAGAGACCAACTGAGGTTGTTTTATTCCAGTTTTCCTTTTTCAGACTAGAGACATTTCAGCAAAACAGAAAATGGGATACAAAGAGAATTCTGCATCTGCTTCCAGAGCAGAGCAATCTCATTGTTATCATGATTTGTTCAAATGCTCTGCTGGATGTAATGACCAAATGAGAACAAAACACAACCCTTAGGTATGTAATGCATATTGCACCAATATAAATATGCATTACACAAACACGGGGATGAATAGTGTGCAGGATGCAGATGATTTAAATCTTCCTCCTTTATTCGCTAATGATTCCCTCCCAATGAAATGATTTCAAGCCAGAAAGTCGCTTCCAAATCCTCCGCTTTTGTTCCATCAGCGCTGAACATTCATTTGCTTCAATGAAAGGGGCACATTTCGTTCTGATAAGCACCGGGGTGCAGCCTCAAGCAAAGTCACTGGCAGTTCCTTACCACTGGGCATGGACCCCTCATGCTTGGGGAGGGGAGCAGGTGGAAAGGCACCCTACCTCCCAGCAATGTGCAAATGACAGTTTCAGCAGGGCAGCAGCCCCGTAGGACCCTAGGATCTGTACAAAGACTATGAGAAAGTCCCTTCCACCAGCACAGCCGGAGTGTGGGGATCCCAGACAGCTGCAGCAATGGGGCATTTTACTCAGCTCAAGGAAGCAGGAAGGCTGCCAGGCATTAGATCCTTAACCGGCCAGCCAAGTTTCTCCAGCCCAGCCTGGCTGCTGTATACACTTTCCTTCCCTCCCAGTGCTGATGGGCTGCACCTACCTTCCCAGCAAAGTCCTCTGCAGCTTTCCGCCTGCAGGCATATGAGCACAAGGTGGTTTCAGCCCAGACCTCTATGTTTCTCCCTCCTATCGGATGCTGCTGCCCCCAGCACGTAACCCTGTGGCACTCACTCACCTGGGCAGGTTGCTGGAAGGTCTAGAGCTGCTGCGGCTCTAGGTCTCTGCCTGGGCTGCTTGCAACGTGCCTCTGTTTGCAGAGACTATACAAAGTATCAAGTGATCCTCCTATCAGGAATTCTGTACCATGGGCAGCATCCTCGGCTCTCCTCCTATTGGCAATTTCTGATGTCCAGTGCGATTGGTGGACAGTATATTATAACTCTGGTTTCTGATTGGAAGCACAGAGGACTATGTAAATGACTATATGAGGTTGGCTTGCCGTTGGTTCATTGCTTCTGAGCTTTCCATAGGCTTTTCTCCCCAAACCTGCTGTAAATTGCAGGTTGATTGGAGCGTTTTGATCAAAAAATCTCACAAAGAAATTGCAACGTATTTCTTCCATGTGGAGTTATATCACTGATATCCTGAGTGTTGGGAGAATTCTGTGAGTGTCTCGCAGATCACCAGCCTTGATGAGGTTTTTGATCTGACTGTGTATCCAGAAAAAAGGTATCTTTACGTGCATTTAAAAAGTGGGTAGTGTAAGGGTACTTTTTAAATGCACCCTTTTTAAATGCACCCTAGTGTAAGGGTACTTACACTACTGGAATTCCTCTACTGGAATCCCCATTGCTTTGCAGTGGTAGCAATTTACTTTTTAATGACTAATATTTTTAAAGGTACTAGAAATTAAATTTTAGCCATTGTTTTCCAATAGCAGATTACTACAGCCCTGTGTATCTGATGGAGCGGGTGGTCAGAGATTTTTCACCCCACACTTCAAGTGCTGCCAACTCTCTCCATATTATAGTGAAACTTGCAATATTTATTGTTTATCTTAATGCCTTAGCTTCTGGAGGCATGTGATTAGCTGAGACTCCTAGCTTTCATTTATAAGGGGGGGGGGGCGGGAGGAAGTAGTTTTCTAGCATTCACTGTTGCAGAAGAAGGCTTGAAAATGTAATCCAAGTGCACCCTGAAGGCTCAGAAACCAAATACAAATAACTCAGAATTTATTTGTCTTAAAAATCATGGGATTTAAAAATTATCTCATTATGGGGGGTGGAGGGAAGCTGAATCATGATTTTTGAACACATAGGGTTGGTAATATTGCACTTTCTAAGAGGTAATCCTCCCAATATCAGATTAGGATAGAGATTGTCAGGAAAATGATTTTGCTAACATAAATTCAGCCTTCTAACTTCAAGTAGAAAATGAGGCTGAGCTGGGAAGAAGCAGATGTTTGTATAAATCTAAATTATTATTATTTAACATTTATACCAGAAGTAACTCCAGTAATTGTGGTAGCCCTTAAACACTAGAACCAGACTTGGTCCCACTGTGCTAAGTGCTGTACAATAAAAAGAATGTAGAGAAGGAAAAGATGTAGTTGATTATCCAGTCCACCTTTCTGCCAGTGCAAAATCTTTCCCTACTGTATCAGTGGGGTCAAAATACAAAGTGAGGAGATGTCTGTGATTTTTTTTTTGGAGCTGAAGCAGTCTAGAACACTGTTCTCCTCTAGTTATTTAAACTGAAGAGTGTGAGGCCTTAAGATTTCAGCAGTTTTTACCTCTAATCACCAAAGGAGTCATAACAGCAATAACTTAAATACAGCCGCGACCATGCCACATGTCCAAATGTGTGTGCTGTGAATGTAAGCCAAGGGCTCTCAGATGCTGAGTTTTCGAGAGGGACTGTGTTGTAGGATAGTCTAGGGAACCTCACAAATTAGAGTGAGACCAAAATATTTAGTAAAAACGATGCTTTGCTTTGTCTCCACTCATAAAAAAATTAAAAATCTGAAGTTTACAGGTCATGAATAAAGAAATATTTCTGTTCTGTATTTGAAGAAAAAACATGATGTAGTCATATCATATAATAAAACTCTCTTCATTCCACTAGTATCTCACGAGGATATTAAACAGCACCTATTTAAGTGACACACATTAAAATCAGGGCCATATAAATTGCATCCAAGAGTTTTAAAAGAGCTGGCCGAGGCGTTTACTTGACTGTTAATGTTGCTTTTCAGAAGACTGGAAGAAAGCTGATGTTTTGCCAATATTTAAAAAAAAAGTAACAGGGATGACCCAAGTAATTGTAGGTCTGTCAGTCTGACATTAATCTCAGGCAAGATAACAGGGCGACTGATATGGGATTCAATTAATAAAGAATTACAGAAGGGTAATATAATTAATGCTAATCAGCATAGGTTTATGGAAAATAGATCTGTCAAACTAACATGATTTCTTTTATGAGATTACAAGTTTGGCTGGTAAAGATAGTAATGTCAATGTAATACAATTAGACTTCTGTAAGGCATTTGACTTGGTACCGCATGACATTTTGATTAAAAAAATAGAAAGGTACATTTAATGGCACTAGGGATGTAAAAGTTTAACCAATTAACCGATAAGCATCAGTCATATCGGTTTCAGTTAATGATCAAACTCTGCTGCCGCCCTGGCTGCTGGCCCCAGCTGGGACTCCAGATGTGGGGTCAGCAGTGGAGCTCTGCGTAAAACATGGGAGTGCTGTACCGCACACTCCCCCAGTTACAAGGGGCGGCTCCAGGCACCAGCGCACCAAGCGTGTGCCTGGGGCGGCAAGCCGCACGGGGTGGCCTGCCGGTCGCCGTGAGGGTAGCAGTCAGGCTGCCTTCGGCGGCATGCCTGTGGGAGATCCGCCGGTCCTGTGGTTTTGGCGGTAATTTGACGGCGGGTACGCCGAAGGTGTGGGACCGGCGGACCTCCCGCAGACGTGCCGCCGAATCCGCGTTACCAGCGGACCTCCCACAGGTATGCTGCCGAAAGCTGCCTTACTGCCGTGCTTGGGGCGGCAAAATACATGGAGCCACCCCTGCCAGTTACCCACCTATGTGAACTCCTTAACAGTTAACTGTTTAAACAATAGAATTTTAATAGGTTAAACAGTTACTATTTTTAAACCCTATTTACATCCCTAAATGGCACATGTTAAATGGATTAAAAGCTAGCTAACTGATAGGTCTCAAAATGTAATTTTAAATAGGGACTCATCAACAGACAGGACTGTTTCTAGTAGGATCCCTCAAGAGTCGGTTCTTGGCCCTATGCTATTTAACCTTCTTTGTTAATGATCTGGAAGAAAACTTAAAATCATCACTGATAAAGTTTGCAGATGATACAAATTGGGGGAATAATGAACACAGGTCACTGATACAGAGCGATCTGGATTGCTTGGTAAACGGCTCAAGCAAATAATATGTATTTTAATGTCGCTAAATGTAAATGTATACATCTATAAAAAATGTTGTTCTTGCACACTGGGGTACTCTATTCTGGGAAGCAGTGCTTTTGAAAAAGATTTGGAGATTGTGATGGATTATCAGCTGAATTTGATCCTGCAGTGGGGGACTGTGGCCGAAAGGATGAATGCAATGCTTGGATGCATAAACAGGACAATCTCGAGTAGGAGTAGAGAGGTTATATCTTACCTCTGTATTTGGCACTGATCCAACCACTGGACAGAATACTGTTCAACCACTGGACAGAATACTGTCCCATTCTGGTATCCACAATTCAAGAAGGAGGTTGATAAATTCAAGAGGTTTCAGAGAAGAGCCACGAGAATGATTAAAGGATTAGAAAACATGCACTATTGTGGTAGATTCCAGGAGCTCACTCTATTTAGCTTAATGAAGGTTAAGGGATGACTTGATTACAATCTATAAGTACATACATGGGTAATAAATATTTAATAATGTACTCTCCAGTCGGGCAAAGAAAGGTATAACATATTCCAATAGCTGGATGTTGAAGCTAGACAAATTCAGATTGGAAATAAGGCATACTTTTTTTTGAGAGAGAGGGTCCTGTGGCACTTTTAAGACTTCTGTTAGTCTTAAAGGTGCCACAGGACCCTCTGTTGCTTTTTACAGATTCAGGCCTTGTCTACACTACGAGAGTAGTTCGATTTTACTTGCATCGAATTTTTGTAATCAATATTGCAAAGTCGAACGTGTGTGTCCACACTAAGGACAGTAATTCGACTTTGTGCGTCCACACTAACGGTGATAGCGTCGAC